CCCCAAAACCCCAAAACCCCAAAACCCCTATAAAGAAATTTTGTATTGATTAATCATAATATGGGAAACAAAATCCTAACTGAGAGCGCGGGGAATGGCCTCGACAATCTTAGCATCAAGATGATGAACGCAGACCAATTTTTCTGCAAGCAGACATATTCTAAATTCGCAAAAAACCTAGTGTACGATATAGGTAAGATTTAGGAATTAAATTTTGGTTTAGAGCAGAATAAAGAAAAGATTAAAAATATGTTTGAGAGTTTTGATAAGGAGAACCAGAAGTATTCGGATAACCAGAAAGGAGACGACCCGCTTGAGGATCTTGAGGTCAATGAAATCCTCATGACTGGGTTTTATAAGCCGGACATGAGTCTTCATGAAATCAAAAACCCAAGTAAGCATCTTAATGTTATTTTTTTGTGTAAATTAGATTCTTCAAGATATTATTTGACTGTTTCAGTAGTTACAGCTCAAATTTTAAGATTTTCCTGATGAAAGATATTTTAATTATCATAGGGTTTGAGAAATCATACCAGAGCCCACCCATTGAGAAGATTAACGAGAACCTTCTGCTTAGTAGAAAATACGGTAAACTTTACAAGCTGTATTGGGTAAGGATCTCAACTTTAATTTTTAGTTTATGAGAGAACTTTCCAAAATTGATACAAATGTCAAAGAAGATTTTATCAAAGATCTCAAAGGAATTAGAAACAGAAGTGAAGGTAAGCAAGTTTTCTTACTTATAGACCCTAAGAAGAAGAACCTCTCTTGAGTCAATCCGACTATGAGTATTGATTTGCTGAAAATCCTTGAGAAAAACTGTTTCGAATCCCTTGAAGAAGTAGTGCAGAACCTTTATGTCTCCTTCAGAGAAGTGCAGAAAGTGGATCTTCTTCCTTCAAATGAAGATTTTTATTACAGAGAGGAGATTCTCAATTCTTACAGAGATTTCCTTCTAGAGATCTTTCAGTCTGAAAAGGCGAGCACTAAGCTTAAAGAGCTTATCCTTAGAGTTATCCTAGTTATTGCTGATCTTAGATCTTCAGGAGAGGACTACCTGATCGTCTATAACATCTTATGCTCGGAAAGCCTTAGCTTTGATGTAGAAAAGGAGATCTTCATGAACAAGTATTTCAGCAAAAATCTGACAATTTCTGACAAAAATAAAGCCAAGTTTGAATTAAACAATAATAGTTCTGATGCCTTCAAGTTCTTTTTGAAGCACGAGGAATGCAAAATAACACCTAGGTAAGAAAGCATTCATGACTGATCACTTATCAATTGGAGTCACGAACTTAAACTACCAATAATGGATCAGTCATATCCTGAGTTTTGAAAAATCTGACATTTAAGAAATGCTTAATATTGAGTGTTTTATCCAAAATATGAGAAATAGGTTTCAACATATATTCCTGGAGAATCGGAATTTACGCCTCATTTGCTTGTTAATATGAGAGTATTATTATTTCCGTATACTCTCTGTTCTATACCATCTGTTATCATCATATTTTTTAGCTATCAGCGCCTACACTGTAATTTCTTCAGCTTAGAAATTATTTTAACCCTCACAGAAAATAGAAATATTAAAAATTTCTTGTTTGAATTAGCAATTTAGGAAATATATTCACTCTAGATTCTTATTGAGGGTGATTTAGATCAACTCAAAATTAAGGCAGAAACTCATGATTTTTCTCCTATTTCTCAAAATTTAAGTACTTATCACTGAAGTGGTGTATTTGAGAACCAAGGTGAGAGCTTGGTTACTTCAAGGCAAACACTGCTCTTAAGAAATTAAAAATTTAGTAGTCTCTTATACTCATTCATATTTATGAACTACATCTGTTAGATACATCACAAGTTCCTAAAGGTGCTCTTTCTTGAGGTCATATTGGATTTGGGCAATTTTTTGTAAAAGCCAGGCCCTATATCCGCATTGAACCTAGGCCAATGCTCTTTGTATACAGATACAATCACAAATCTTCCATTTCTAAGGCTTCTTTTTAGACTGGTCACAACTCAAGGGCAAGAATTTATATACTTGAGGTTTAAACACTGCTCAAACCTAAACAAGATGAAGAATAATATATTGGTCAAAATTTGCCATAAAAGATCTTTCTCTTGAGACCCAGGGTTTGCAGAGGTTGATAAGCTTATTCCAAAAACAGAAGGGTCTATTGAGAGCCTTGTTCCCATTGGAGACAGATTATATGCAATGCTTAAGCTATGAAATGGCTCTTCCGAGCTTAGAGAGGTCAACCCGATCTCTCTTGAGCTCACTAAATGATCTGAATGGGAAAACATGATGAAAAATACGCAAGAATCTAGAGAAAAAGACTTTAATATGCCAGTTTTGTATGGAAAAGAGCGAACAGAATTTAAGAAAGTCTTTAAGAAAGGAAAGTTAGACAGCTATAGAAAGATCGAGAATCATCACCTCTTTACAGATGGAAAGAGTAAGCTAGACTCCAAGAATTGTTTAAAAATTACTTTAATAGAGACTTCTAAAGATATGAGATTTTAATATCTCCAATCTTCTTGATTATTACTAAAATTTCTTGATACAATGTGCCTTATTTATGCATTTATATATTTTCATCGTTTCATCACTAGTATTCAACAATCCTGTGCCATCATAGAGGCTTCAGCAAAATGTTCTAAATTTTCAAGTGGATTTTCTATAATTCGCCTTGCTATTTTCTTCAAATACCAAAATTTAAACAAAAATTGATACAGAGATCTAACCTTGCCTCTATAGCTCACAGCAAAGGGTTTCTTTACCAGTTGGTAGAGTACGTAAAGAAAAATGACAAAAATAAGGAGTTCTTACACTATGAAATAGAGATATTCTCATCAGAGGATTTCACGTTCATTAGAAGTGTAAAGTTAGACCTCGATCCTATATTTGAAGAGGGCATCTCTGATGAAGAGGCTAATAAAATTTTGTGTCAAACGGAACATTTCAGAGAAAGGATCGAACAAAAGGAGACGAAAAATGAGTTTTTAGCAACTGATGGAAATACACTTATGTTTTCAGATGAAAATACTATGTATTTCTTTTCTCTAGAGACTGGAAAGCGTTATAAGTATATAGCGAAAGCTCCTTCTAGTGCTATTTGAGGCTATGACACTGAAACATGCTTATTTCAGTATATTTCACAAAGAAGAATGCACAAATCAATATTCGGATTTCGAACCTTTAAAATTAATGGCTTCGGATCTAAACTCCTTCAGAAACATTACCCTCAATGAATGAATCTAGAAATTTGTGAAAATCTGAAGTTTGAAGGAGAGAGTAAAAACTTTGAAGACAAATCTTTCCAATTAAAATTGAACCAGAAAATTGAAGAAGAGTCTAAATCAGAGGACAAGACTAACCATTCACAGAATCTGATATGACACCTCCTTAACATGAACTGTGAAGATAGTCAAAACAAGCTCTTTGAGCTTGAACAACTAAGAGATTCAAACCAAAATATGCCCTTTAACAATAAAGCAGAAGTATATCGGGGAGTTTCTTCAATTAATATCTCTATAAAATTCTTTAGAGAACTCACAAAGTCTCTAGAGAGCTGTGAGGCTTTCACAAAGAAGGAAGGATTCTCACAAGATCCTAACCTACAGTATAACTTGCTCTGAATTATGAACATTACGTATACTCTTCTGAAGTCACTCTCATTGCTGAACCTCAGCTTGAGACAACTCGGTGCTGAAAATACTGAGAGAGACAAATTTAGAAAATTAGTAGAGGCTGTCATTAACTTTGGTGGATCTCAAGGAAAAGGTCAAGACCAGAGTCATAGTAAAGAGTTAAAGTAAGCTTAAGGTCCTAAGTCATAGCCCAACTCATATTTCTACCCAAATCCAACAGAAGGGGCAGGAAATTAATCGTATCTTCATTAAGTCAATGTTCTCCTCAAAAGAAGATGCTTTAGAAGAGTTAGTAACTATCTTAGATATGTATAAGAAAGGAGAGATGACAGGTTTTGGTATTGAGTTTATTAGATTCCTCGCTTCCTCGAAATTGATGCAGGAGATAGCTCAAACAGAGATAGCCCAATCCTGATTCGAGTTGTTCTCAGCAGAAATTTGATCAAAGCTTTGTAGAGAATTAGAAGCAATTACAACACAGAATACAGTAGAGCCAATTTATTTTGAAAGCAGAGAGAAAGCTGCATTGGAGTTCATGCGGTCTTACTTCCAGTTCAGACTTCTATACTTCTTCCAGGAAGAACTTAGAGAAGAACACATCTCCTCTGATCCAGGAGCTTTAATGATTCAAGAAGAGAATATTGAACAGATGCTTAAAATTTACTTTGTCTTAATTGAAAACTCCTCAAAGATATTCAAAGTTGCCAAAGAAGCTATCTCAAAACATGTGAATGAAGAAGAGGTCTTCAAAGATTCGGCATCTCAAGATCTAGTTGCTTTCCAAGACAAGGTTGTTTACATATCCTTACAACTAAATAAATTCTATACTATGATCAGTACTTTTTTGGCTGCTCTGAGTGAAGAAGAAGTACTGCAAAAGACAATTGGTTTGAATATCTTGGCCACTGAAACTTTAACTTTCATTAAGACAGTACAAGATTTTCATGGGTAAGAGTCTAGGTTAACTAATAGATTATCTAGAAAATTCAAACTCGGCGTGAAACAAGACTCGATCAGTCACAAAAGGATGCAAGCTCTCAGATATTCTCTCGAAGATTGGACTCTTTCACTTATAGATATTAGCCAAAAATTTATGAAAATACATAAGACAGATGATAAAAATATAGGGGCTCTGGTTCAGTCACAGATCTTGTCAGGAGGAATCAAGAGCAACTTTGTGCACACTTTCACTCCAAAATCTCTTGAGATTATCCAATATTATTGCTCTACGATTAAAGATCAGAATCTACTGAACTTGATTAATGCGAAAAACCTAACAGATGACTACGAGATGATGCTAGCTATTATTCATCAAGGCAAGAAGCCAGGAGTAGACCAGCTTATAGACCTACTGCAACAAGATCTTCTCCAAAGAGATATTACAGCTAAGGTTGGAGGAAATGAGGGCATGATAGTCTCTAGATGTGCTTTTGCAGCTAATTTATCCCTCAATCAATATGATGAAACCTGCAGTTTTGTTAATATATCTATGATTATAGATCAACTTGACTTGATCAAGGAAGAAATTGACCCAAACTTGTCTGAAAAGGAAAAAAATAATGAGCTATTAGAGGAGCTCAAACTTTCAGCAAACGTTCAAGGGATCATTGATCGTTGGAAAATAGCGAACAAAATGAGAATCTGGCTTCAAGGAAAGAGGAAAGATATTTCTAATAAGTCTTGATCTGAAGATAAGATCAATACTTCCCCAAAAGAAGAAACTAAAGAGGAGCCAAGAGAAGCCAGTAAGGTAGAAGGTATCCCTGAAGAAGATACTATTGAACAGGTTATCCAAGAAGTTATCAAGAAAGCAGAGCTAATAATCAGACTATCCCCACCTAGCTCATGGAATCAATCCGATTCTTCAGAAGAGAATCTTCAAAGATTTGACTCTTATACTATAAATATGACTAAAAAGTATGGCATTGCTACTGAGAGGACTGAAGTTGAGGATATAGAAATTGACAATAAGGATGCATTCAATAACTTCAGCAATAAAGATATATTTAACTCATGAGCTGCCTCTGTTTTAGCAACACTTCAGTCTGATGTCTCAGCATCTGAGATACTACAATCTATTGAAAGGAATTACAAGAATGCTATCTTTAGAGACCTTGGGCTTAAACTGATATCTAAGATAAATACCTTGCCTGTCCCTTTCTCTGTTCACAAACACTCGCTGAACTCACTTTGCTTGGCCTTCAGGGAGAATTCTAGAAGCCTTGCTCATTACTCAGATAATCTTAATGCTATTGGAGATTACATGCTGTCAAAAATCAGAATTTCTTTCTTTGAACTTTATAAAATGACCATCCAAAAGTTATCGACTAGTAAAGATGAAAATGAGCTGATATTTTTATTGAACTTCTTAAGGTGGAAAATAAGTGCTTCTGACCACCAAGATCTCTTGCAAAGTGGAATCACAAAGGTTCTTTCAAGTGTTAGTAATGATATATTAAAGCTTAAGGGAGACATTGGCTTAGCTAATGACTCTCCAAACCTCTCATACTTCTTCATCAACACTATTGAGTACATCTTCGTGTCCTGCCTCTCTCGTATTCTTACAGAGGATGAAGATCAGAAAGTAGAAGTAGTGGGAAGTGGATCTGCTGGAATTAAAAAGATACAACAGGCATCTTCTGTGATTAATACCAACATCAGCGAGGTCTTAATGGCTTCATCCTTTGATATTGCTTTCACCCAGATCAAGAGATTCACTAAAACTGAGAGGCAAAAGATCCTTGATCTTAAATTTAAACAACAACAAGAGATCAAAATAGCTGAAGAAAAGCTCAAACAAGAAAAATCTAAAAAATTTGAAGAACAAAAGAAGCAGCTTGATATTCTAGCGATTCCAGATGAAGACTACAGTGGCTCTTCTTTATTCTCCAATAAAGATACTCAAAATATCGGCAAAGGATTATTCGGGTCTTCATGTGGAGGTATCTTTAGTCAAAAAGCATTTGACTGCGCTGATGGAAATAACCAAGATCTATTTGCAGACAATTCAGATTTATCCCAGTATCTAGACGACTCTTTATATGCTAACATTGATTATGATTTCTCAAATTCAATAAACCAAACGTCGTTTGTTCAGATAAGTGATTCTTCAAAAATTGGTGGGAAAAAGAATGCTGCAATGAAGCAGAACTCTTCCGAAAATTGACACAATTTGTTCGCCCAAAAACCTTCCTTAAAGTTTGATAAAATAGATGAGCTCTCCTGCATAAAGTTACTTAGGCTAGTAGAACTTATGACATCTGCTGCACATGAGGATGCTAAGATGAAGAAATTATGACTAAAATTCATCAAAACAGCACACATTAATATTCTGATACAGATGATGGAAGAGACTAGTCCTAAGCTCCAAGGAGTTATTCTCCAGATTATCACTAATCTCGTCACTATTGGAGTCCCAAACTTTCTTATTGAGAAAGCAATTGGAGGGAATGAGGAAGAAACGAAGGAAATTAGCGAAGAGAAGCATGTTTTCAGGAGCAAATTCTTGCAATTTCTGTACCAGAAATCTCTCAACATCAATACAAGCATTTATGACAAGAAAATTGAAGGAGACTCTGATGATTTAGATGTTTATGATGTTATTATAAGACTATTTTGACAAATACTAGGTCAATCCAGTGAGTCTGAATGGGCACAGGAAATTCAAACTCAATTATTCAATAATCTCTCGTCGTCAAAGAAACAGGATCTTGAAGAATCTGAATTCTGGCTTAATCTAATTCAAGGCAGCAGGTTCAACGGAATCAGCTCTGGAAAATATCTAAAGGATACTTTGGGAAACATCTTTTTAGCCTTTGGATTCAGTGAAGAGAAATTAACCAAAAGTAGCTGAGCATTGAAAAAATTAAAATCGAAGCCAATTACCAAAACAGGGAAGGTATTCAATAGTTTTACTGTGTGCATGAATACTGATAACCCAGCCCCAATTAAAAATAAGCTAGATTATATCAGCATGGACAAATTGACCCTTCATACTGCTGATTCACAACCTAATGAAGATTTTCTACTAAAAAGAGAAAACTTAGCAATATTTTTGAAGAAATTTAACTTTTCCAAGAAACCTGAGGATCATTCAATCGAAGAGTTATACAGACAATGAATTATAACCAAAGTTTTCTTGTACCATATACAAAAGTTTGGTGATAAGTTCGTGAACCTCCTTGAACCCTCAGAGCAGAAGGAATTGATAGAGTATCTACTTAAAACCCCTATCACAACTATGAAGGTAGCTAGCCTTGAGTCCTACGATCAGAGGATCTTCACTCAGAAGAGCAATGCTTGTGGATCACAAGCAAGCTTCTTCAAGTGTCCTAAATGCTCTTGCTCAATAAAAGAGAATAACCTAGTTTTAAAAGTTTTCTACACAGAAGCTCCAGAAGTGTTTACTCATAAAATCGTAAGCCAAGGAAAGACTAAACCTGATATTAAAGAAAAATTAGAGATTGGGTCATATACTATCTTCCCAGCGAATGAGATTGGCGTGAAACCTTCAATGAATGAAGACAGCTTATTCAAGAAGGAGACCACGGTATATCTCTCCCCAGATGACTACTCTCAGTTGGTCAAAGAGATGGAACCTTTCCAAAAGTTAGCTGAGAAGTACACAAGTTATCCCCAAAATAAACAGGAGGAGAACTCTGAGAAGAAAGATAATCAAGCAGTTTCTCTATTAAAGAATATAGATTCTTTTAAGGACAAGCCCTCTACATCATTATTTAGCAAAAGTAACAAAAACTCAATCTTTGGAGAACAAAATATTAAAGGAAGTGAAGACCCTGAACCATCGAAAGCAGTCTCAATATTTGCATCCAAAAAGCCAGGCTCTGAAATACAGAGCAACAAGGATATCAGCAAGAGTATCTTTTTGGACGAAGCTCAGAGGAAGGATGAATCTGTTACTGAAAATACTAAGGAAGAGGAGAAACATGAACTTAAAGAGGTATTTTATCGACAATAATCTATACAGGTCCAACAAGACATTGATATCGATATTGAACCTCAAGCTATAGATCTCTCTTCAATAGTCTCTAAATTCTTAGACAGCAGAAATTCTACTTCACAGCTTAAAAATAGCAGCCAGAGTAAAATCTTTGGAATAAAAAAGGAAATACAAGCAGAAGCCGATACAGAAAGCTCAAAAATTGAATTTAGCCCAGGTAAATTTTAGTGCTTGCAGGAGTTAGACTAGATCTATTTTCCAGTTATAAGCAGCCAAACCATGGTATAAGCTTCATTTAAAAACATGGATTTTCAAAGAGTATTGCCTAAATTAGAGCTTTAAAATTTGCTGGCTTTGTATCAAGCAAAGTGATGCAAGAGAGATCCTTGAGCTTGGAAAGTTCTTACTTACATATTTTATCCCAATTCTAACATAAATATTTAGATACGGAGGATAGGAAATTACTTAGCGACTACATTAGCCTTCTAAACGTGAATATCTTCTTGCTCATGACTGAGTCATTTGATGAGGATCTTCAAGAAACTGTTGTGGATTCAGAAGAGAACTCAGAAAAGTTTTGTAAGATGCTCACTCTTTTAATAAACCAACTCTATTGCTTTAATGATCAAAAGTCCAGGGAACAATCTGAACTATATCGTTCTATTACTACATTGCTTACATCTCTGAGTAGTGGATTAAAGATCAAAATTCTACTAGAGAAATTTGTGCTAAATGTAGTGGTCAACGGAACACTTTCTTACTTGACAAAGCTCCATCAAGATAGTAAATCTAGCATTGCCAGACTAGCCACAAACAACAAGGATGAGAATTTGAGAGTGAATATTAATTTACTCCCAGAACTTGTTGAAATGTTGATGCACCTATGCCCAGAAGTTTGTCATACAACTGAGATATACACCCAACTTGTTGAGATTCTCTTCCTCGTGATATGCTCATTTAGCAAAAATAATGACTTATGAAGGAACACTTCAATGTGCCTGTATAAGTTGGTGTTTGAGTACTTGTACAAAAAAGATCAGGATAAAACCATTATTCACAAGCTCCTCAATTTAGAGGTAGTAAATGAGATATTGGCCAAAGGTTTTGAAGTTAAACTCTTTGATCATTATTCAAGCCTGAATCCGCTCACAAATAGCTTATCTAATGAGAAGAAGATAATGATAGAGATCTTGATGCTATTCTATGAGTTAAAGATCAAAAATCAAGATATTTCAAGTCTCTACGACTCTTGCAATTTTCTTGAAGATCTCTTACAGTCGATCCAGATTCTAGCGGAAGGAAAGAAATTTGAGCTAGCTACCTATCTAAATCATTTCAAGAAAGACAAAGGAAAAGAGACAGAAAGAAAGAAGTTGGTCTACGCTACAGCTTGTCCAAGATACAGGCATAGCTTTAGAGCAAAGATTGATGTCAGAAATTGATCTCCTGCCAGCCTCACTATAAACCCAAAATCTAAATTGACTTATGGACCATTAATGATATCTAAGGATATAGAAGGCCAAGAAGTTATTCAGAAAGCAGATATCTCTAATTTAGGCTCTCTAAAACCAATACCTGTGAAAGAGGGATCCTTATACCTCCATTATCCCTATTATCCAAACAAGATATGGGCTTGAGGCAACAATTTCGAACTTGATGAACAGGGAAAATTAGAACTAAACTCTAATGAATGTATCACTCTAACTTCTGAAATAAAGCAATTCAAGGAAGGACTCATTCTGACAGCCAAAGGAGAATTATACTGTTCATCAAAAACTGGAGAAATACGAGACTGTATTAAGCTTGAGAAATTTTCAAAGGAACTTCCCCAGGAACCCATTAGAAGTATCTTCTCAACATCTAGGAGCTACGGACTCATTACCGAGACTGGAGGTATTTACATCCATGAGTTAGAATGATCAGATAGCCAAGATTCCCAACAAGAGAGTAAGGGCTTCGAGCGCATCCCCAGACCAAATGAGGATACTGAGAGAATACTCCATATAGATATGGGTCCAGAATCTGTGATATACACAACAGTGAACAAGAAACTATACATTGGCACCCTTTCCTCTGAAGAAAATGCATCAAAGTATCAATTCAAAGAGCACATTCTCAAAGAAGGAATTGAGCCTCTTGAAGTAGCTGCTTCACAGTTTGAAGGAGAAGAGAAGGTTTACATGTGACAAATAAAATTTGAAGGTAAAACTCAGCTCTGGTCTTGAGGACAATCTCAAATAGGGCTTCATGGCAAAGGATCTGATGAAATAATTTCACCTGAATTCTCTCGTCTGGACTATGATGAGAACATATCGTTTACAAAATTTAGTATCTCCGACCAATCAGCAATGGCTGTTACTGATACAGGAGAGCTATATGTATGGGGCCAGAATAAATTTGGAATCAAAGAATCAGATTATCTCCAACACATATCAAAACCTACTATGGTAGAATGCTTGGCTGATTATGAGGTTCATGAAGCAAAATGAGGGAAAGATACAGATATTCTCTATGTTTCCTCTAAGACTGATGTTGATGTACATAAGCTGTTCTTAGTCAAGGAAGTCGCTGCTCTTGAGCAGAACAAAAGCCCTCAATACTTGCATGAAATTCAGACATCCGAGAGCAATTTTCCTCCTAGTTGGATTGAGACAGGAAGACTTGGGTGCTACATAAATTTTTTGACTACATATCCAAATAACTTCCAGAGTGATATCCATCATGGATATAAATGTGCAGTAACAGGAGAAACACCCATTGTGGGAACTTTACATTTTTGGAAACAGGTATTCCATACTATTCACAACTATAGAACTCTGAATGGGTTTACCTCTCAGAAAAAGGTTACAGACATCTTCGAACTCAGGAAGAAAGTAAGAGTGACCAACATGAACAGATACAAATTCCAAGTTTCTGCTTTGCAACTAAAAATTTCATCAAGAATATCCCTGATAAAGCATGGCCTGATTTCAGTAAAGGTAAAATTTAAATCAGCATTTTTTCCAGCTCATTCATAAGAATGCCACTAATTCACTCATATAAAGTGTTAGTTTCTTTTTATACAAACTAGTTTTCCCTTCCAAGAGCCAATATTTACCCTCACTAATCTAAACCACCTAAAATCCCTCCCCTCCTTCCCACCCTCACCCTCTAGTCCTCACCCCATTCAAAATCCCTCCAAAATACATCGCTTTCAACAAACATTTCCTGCACACCCTCCATCCACCGCCTGCGCTCACAGAAGACTCCTTCTTCTCTCCTGACGCTAACGACTTGAACCCCCTGATCTACTACAGGTTCACTCGGCAGCTCCAGTCAAATCCAGGTTACCCAGCTCCACTTGAATCATCAAAATGATCTTTCTTTATGCCAGTACTCGATTTAAAGGAGTACTTCGAACTTTCAAATGAGACTGGACTTCAAATAGAAATTTCTCAGGACCAAACTTCTTTGAGATTTGAAAATGAACAGGAACAAATCAGATTCGAAGTTATTACAGAATTTATGCGAGACTTTGACCGTAAACTGGACAAAGAGTTATTTGAGAAAGTTGACCAATATATTGTGGATAATAAGGTAAAAGTCCAAGGGGAAAAGGATGAAGTAAAAATCCAGTTCTTGGCATTTCAGTCTCAAGAACTTAGAGATATCCCTCCAGAGATGCTACAATATCGAGTTGATGCCCTTCTGAAGCTTAATAAGAGCTACCTTGAAGGAATCAATATGGTCTATGATGACCATTCTATATCAAATAGGTTGACAGATATTAATCCGAATGCATTCTCTGCCTTGATGGCTAAGTCAGCCTCTCTTGGATTGATCTCAATCAAAAATACTTATGTTGATAGTGAATTGAAGAGATTAGGCACAAGAAACAGCTCCGAGCCAAAAATTACTTTTGATCGAGTCAGAATACAAGAGAGAAGAGATCAGAACAATGTTGACCACAGTGGTATTTGGACAATGTTTGGTACAGCAATGAATTCATGTAAAAGGAATAACTATTCAGCACTCAAAATAAATAAATCCTCAGAAAAATGCTGGAGTGCAGAATTTAAAGGTGAAAACTCTGTTGATGCAGGAGGACCTTACAGAGACTCACTTTCAAATATTATCGAAGAACTTTATACAAACTCCTTGCCACTTTTGATTCCTACTCCGAATAATAAAAATGATCATGGAGAAGGGAGGGATTTGTGGACTCTGAATCCTGCATCTAGTACTCAAGATCATTGAGAAATGTACAAGTTCTTAGGTGCATTAATGGCAATGGCCTTTAGATCTGGACAGGTTATCAACGTAAAGTTCCCATCAATTATCTGGAAGAGGTTACTCGGTAGAAAGCCTACTCTTGATGACTTATTCAGATGAGATGCTTACGCAGCCCAGCACCTCCAGGAGATCATGAAAGCTAAAGAATCTGTAAGATTTCCCTACTCATTCATTTAGATGACAAAAGAAGAATTTGAGGAATCAGTTGTTCTCAAGTGGAAGACAACTCAGTCAAACGGAGAACTGGTCTACCTGAAGTCTCAAGGAACAGACAATAGAATTCGGTATGAGGATGTTGAAGAGTACTGCAGCCAAGTTATTAAGACCAGGTCTGACGAGTTTTCTCTACAAATAGAGGCTCTCATCAAAGGCTTCAACTTGATAGTTCCTTTGTATATTGGAAAAATCTTGAGTTGGCAAGAATTTGAAGAAAGAATCAGAGGCCCAAATGAAATTTCAGCTGAAGTATTACAATCAATAACTACCTATCCAGGCTGTTCTTCCTCAAACGAGGGTGTTAAGAGATTTTGGAGAGTTTTTAAAGCATTCTCAAATGAAGAGAAGTCTAGATTCCTTAAATTTGTTTGGGGAAGAGATCGCTTGCCTATCAAGTCAAAGCTTAAGGCAGAATTTAAACTAGATATGTATCATAATCCATCTGCTGCAAATGATGCTAAACTTCCGACATCAGCTACATGCTACTTCAGACTCTACATTCCAAACTACACCACAGATGAAATATGTAGATCTCAGTTATTGTTGGCCATAAATTCCTGTGGAGAGATTGACAATGATTAAGCCCTAAGGCACAGATAATTTCAACTCATTCACAGCCTCTTTAAGAATTTAACGAAGCTTTGAAGATTTCAGACTTCTTCTAAACTGTTTATTAGATTGTAAAAATTTAGCAGTTCTACCAGTAATCTTAAATTTGGGGTTTTGGGGTTTTGGGGTTTTGGGG